AAGGGCTGGGAGATAGGAACAGAAGGGACCAGGTGGAGAGAGGACAGAGAAACAGAGTACAGGGAGAGCCAACTGGCATGACAGGGTCATGTCTAAGATGAGCTAGAAACCCAAGGCAATGGAAACTGCAAGGAATCTATGAGTCTGAAGAGAGTCTGAACCAGGCATCTTCTCTAACCTGGCAAGAAATCCTGTGGATGGAGGTATTGGGACACAAACCCAGCCACAAAACCTTGGACCTACAATTTGTTCTGCCTACCAGATATGTGGTGGTAAAGATGGAGCAGAATTGACAACTATTGACTGGTCTAGCTTTAGATGCATGCCATTAGAGGGAGCCTAGCCCTGATACCCTGATGATACTCTGCTTTACTTGCAGACAGGAGCCTAGTATAACCATCATCATTGAGGATTCACCCAGTAACTGATGGAAACAGATTCAGAGATAGAAGACAAATATTAGGCAGAACAAGGAAAATGCTATGGAGGGGGATTATAGGTACCAGAGGGGTCAAGGATGCCATAGGAAAACCTACAGAATCAACTAACCTGGGCCTATAGGGGCTCACAGAGTCTGAACAGCCAATCAAAAAACATGCATTGGACTGACCTAGACCCTCTGCATATATGTAGCAGTTGTGTAGTTGGTTTTTATTTGGGACTCCTAACAGTGAGACCAGGGGTTGTCTTTGACTCTGTTGCCTGACTTTAGAACCCTTTCCACTAACTGGGCTGCCTCACCTAACCTCAGTGGGAGAAGAATGTGCCTAGCCTTACTGCAACTTGATATGCCAAGGCTGATTGATATCCATGGGAAACCTCCCCTTTTCTGAAGAGAAAGGGAGGAGAAGTAAATGGAGATGAAGAGGGAGGAAAGAAATGGAAGGAGAGAAGGAAGGATAAACTGTGGTTGGGAAGTAAAATATTTTTTTTTAAATCTTCCCATGATAAACAAAACTACCAGATACTAGTGGTAGCCCTAAGGTCTCCTCCAAAGAAGACAATGGGATACCTTAATTGTGGCAACTCTTTCCACTGGGCAAGGAACTGCCCCATGCCTCAACTCTCTACCAGGACCATGCCCTAACTCTGAACAGGCAGGTCACTGGAGAACTGACAACCCCTCTGCTCTACCAAGTTGGGCAGTCTCTCGAGTACCTTATCTACAGAAAGTCTCTACAGAAAGTCTCTTAGATCTTCTGGATCTGGTAGCTGAACACTAACTAATGCTGTCCTACATGGTGATGAAAAACTTTTTATTACAATTTATTCTCTTTGTATCCCAGCTATAGCCCCCTCTCTCATCCCTACCCAATTCTACCCTCCCTCCCTCTTCTCTTCCCATGCCCCTTCCCCAGTCTACTGATAGGGGAAGTCCTCCCCACCTTCCATCTGACCCTAGCCTATCAATTCTCATCAGGACTGTCTGCATTGTCTTCTTCCATGGCCTGGTAAAGCTGCCCCGCCCCTCAGGGGAAGGTGATCAAAGAGTGACCCACTGAGTTCATTCAGAGAAAACCCCTGTTCCCATTACTAGGGAACCCACTTGGAGACAGCTGCCATGGGCTACATCTATGAAGATTCTAGGTTATGGCCATGCGTGGTCCTTGGTTGGCGTATCCGTCTCAGAAAAGACCTCTCTGCCCAGATTTTTTTTGTTCTGTTGACTTTCTTAATGCTGTCCTTCATGACTGCCAAAGACTGATGCTCTCTTCCTTGAAAATTACCATGGAGTTGTCTAGGGCAAGTAAGCCCTAGGTAAGTCTCTGTCATTTTGATTGATACAGAGGCCATTTCTATTATACTTTCTGCTCATTTTTTTTTCTGCTCAGATCTCTGATGATGTTGATGGCTGTCTGTAGCTTTATCTGTTTAATACCAGCAAGTCCTCAGCATCCCCCTCTCCCTATTGGTCAGCTATCTGATCAGGTGATTGCATACATAAAAATCTGGCCTTTCTTTTTAGAGCTACTAGATCCTCGGCTAAAGAAGACAGACCCAGTTTACCTTGCTGACAGGCTTCACACTAGATGACATAAACTCACAAAACAGGTTTAAATGTAGCTTTTATTATTCCTTTATTTAAAAACAAACAACAACCAAAACCAATCTTGCTTTCTAATGACTGCTCTCAGTAATCAATGACCTATGTTTCATGACAAGTGATTAAATAAAATATTAAAATTTCTAAAAGTTAAAAGGGTCTAGAAAAATAAGTCATAAATGTGCAGGTTGTAAATGTCTAAAAAGTAAGCCATGAGGGTCTAAGAAAAATAAATTAAAATGTATAAATGAAGGTTATAAAATATCTAAAGATATGAAATTTTAAATAAGTTATAAGGGTTTAAAATCATTTAAAATATGTAAATGCAGTTTACAAATACATAAAAAAATTTAAAAATTTCAAATTTCTTTCTTTCTCTATGGTATTTTATGGTAAGACTTCAAATATTGAGAATTTTAACATTAATCAATGGAATTCTGTTAATTATTAATCTAGTCCTGGTAAAGCACTAACTACAATTGTCATAGTCAAAAGCTCAAAAATGTACATTTCCTTTGGTTGTTTATTAAGTAGAGACTCGAAAAAATATGTCACAAGCTGGGTGTAATGGCATATGTCTTTAATCTCTGCAGAGGCAGGCAGATCACTGTGAGTTTGAGGGAGCCTAGTCACAAAGCAAGCCTAGGAAAGCCAAGGCTACACAGAGAAACCCTGTCTTGAAGTATAAAACAAACAAAAACAAAAAACAAAACAAAAAAGAACTCATGTTGAAAACATCTTTGTCCAATCTATATACATCCAACTCGCTAGACAAAGGAAAGAATGTTCATGATTTTATCCTCCAAAAGTTTTTGGGTCCCCAAGCTTTTAATATGAATTGCGGGCATGAGTTTACTCCAGCTGTTTACAGATACTTGTTAACTGTTTTGTTTTATTTTACAATGAGAATTTTAATACAGATTAAAAACAATGGTAATACTGATATATATAAAATTTTGTCTCCTTTTGTAATCTTAAAAATTCATATAAAATTCAGGGGATCACAACTTTGATCTATCTCAGGTCAAACATATTCCAGATAAGTACTCCTGTCATGTCAGTCATGGGCAGCAAACAAGATGTACCCTGCCCTGTCCTGGCCATTAGCCATCCTTCCAGGCTCCCTGTGCCCTGACGACAATACCCTACTTTCACTCTACACTTTGCCATCTATCGCCTATTCCCGAGGGTGAACTACCTCCTCAGCCTACTCTTGGGACTTCTTCCATGGCCCCAACTACTGGGACCACGAATCTGCAACTTTTAAATGTGCACCCAAGATAAAGTCTCTATCCTTAGTCTGTATCTGTCCTAGCAGCATTTTAATCAACTAACGTCTACAAACTGCTCCAAACACACCAGCCTCCAGGACTCCTTTGAAATCAGCAGGTTCTGGACTTGCTGAAAACCAGTAGAAACCAGATGCTTCTGGTGAAATTTTCTGCCAGGTTGGACCAGCATTCCAGATTTCTCCAAAGTTACCAGCACTTCAGTAGCCACAGGTGGTCCAACGGGCAGCAAACAAGGTGCACCCTGCCCTGTTCTGGCCTTTAACCAGCACTCTAACCTTCCTGTACCCTGACAACAGTATCTTACTTTCAGTGGAGAAGCAGTTACTGAAGAAAGCACCTTATTCCTCATCCTCCACAACGGCCTGGAGTATTATTGGGGCCAAAGGAAACTAGTTCCCCTCTACAAAAGAAGTCATTTCCCTAGCACTGTCAATGTGTCATTTGTCAAGAGACAAATTACTCTCCATGGTGTCTATTAGCTTACGAAAGCTCATGGTAGCCTTCGGGATCTTTAGTATTACAAATACCTGTTAAAATCAGAGAGTTATGTAAACTTACAAAGGTGGGGGTACTTGAGATGGGGACTTGAATCTGATTAAATTGTTTACTTCATGCTTATCAAATTTCACCTAGGTAAAATAAATGTTTGTTTTCTCTGTCCTACTGTTTTATTCATTATTTGTAAATGTCAGTGTCAAACACTGTAGATACAATGAGCTCTAAAATTAAATTCCCCAACTCATTCTCCTAGAGCCAATGGAGAATGTAATGGACTAAAATCCCCTCCTTGTGTTACTTCTGAATGTTAATATAGGTCTTAATGTCACAAACTGGCTATGCACATATATAAAAAAGTCAACACAATTAAAATGTTAACCTTTAGCCCTACATAAATGTGAATCAGTGATATGATTCATATGATCTAGAGCCACTGTGGAATTTAATGGCTGAAGAAACTTCATTTTATGCTAGGTATGCTTCTTGGTACCCACTAGCTGTTTGCCTGCCTCCAGTCCCTCAAAGACAAATTGCCAGTAACCTTCACTGAGTGACCGCCCCAAAAGTGTACACTTAGGACCATCTACTTGTTATGAAATTATTAACTGCTTTTTCACTTCTGTAACTTTCTTATGCAGATACTCAAACGCTGTTTTGAGTCTTCTTAACCCTTCACACCTGGGCAGAGCAGACCAGTTTTTGCTTGCTTGCATAAATAGTGAAGGTCTTTTGGGGGTTTTGCTGTTAATAAACTCTTTCCCATAGGCCTACTTTATGACATACCCAGGATTCAGCTTTAAGGTTGTTATCCTACTAGCCACTGATCAGTAAGTCTTTTACTTATTTTTTAATTCAATATATATATTATTTTTTATTATTAATTACACTTTATTCTCTTTGTATCTCCCCATAAGCCCCTCCCTCCTCCCCTTCCGATTCCACCCTTCCTCCCCCTTCTTCATGCATGCCCCTCCCCAAGTCCACTGATAGGGGAGGTCCTCTTCTCCCTCCTTCTGATCTTAGTCTATGTGATCTGATAGACTAAGTCTTTTACTTATAATTGGAGTGAATCTATGGTCTTTCCCCAGGGGTCACAAACTACATAATCCTGGAGCTGTATCATTCACACACTGAAAACCACAGAAAAGAAAGCTAATCACACTTACTAGGTTCAGAGACTTGATGATATTTTTAATATCCACTTGCAAAATATTTCCAACAATTGGTAAAGGAGTGGGTCCAGGTGGGAGCTTCTTTTTGACGTGGTGCTGATTCCACAGAAAAAGAAAAATCAAACAAGAAAGGCAAATCCCAAGGAAGATGAAGAGCGCCATTGATGCACTAAACAAATGCACTGGAAAGCCTACACTCCAGGAGTCCACAAGTGCAGCTCTAAAGAAATACACAGTATTTGTACTTTTGAGTGAGACTCCTTTATCTTCAGTACACTTTGCTCTGAATAAACAAAAGTGACTGTTTCCTAATATTACTTTTCTATGTGTTTGTCATTTCAACATAACCATTTATTCTTCAGAGTGAAACATGAATAGCTATATTTTTTATTAATTTTTATTTTTTATATTAATCACAGGTTATTTACTTTGTATTCCAGCCGTAGCCCCCTCCCACATTCCGTCCCAATCTCAGCCTCCCTCCCTCATCTCCTCCCTGCTGCTTTCCAAGTCCGCTGCTAGGGGAGGTCCTCCTCCCCTTCCATCTGACCCTAACTTATCAGGTATCTTCAAAACTGGCTGACATGTCCTTCTCTATGGCCTAGCAAGACTGTTCCTCCCTCAATGGGGGGAGGGATGGTTATGACTATTCTTGATTGTCAACTTGACTAAATCTGGAATTAACCAAAATCCAAAAATGGAGGACATACAAGTGAGTGGTTTGTCTTGGTTTCATATGTTCATAGTGTTTGACTTGCTCATTACCCTTTGTTCCCTGACACTTCCATATTATCTATATCTGCATTCCTTCCCAGGGCTTCTTGTTCAATCTTGATCCTTTTAGCTTAAGAATTTCTTAAGCATCTGATCAAAAACATGCTCAACATAAGAGGAACCAGTTCAAAGGTGTGGTGAAAAGAGGAGAAACTTGTGATGTGCATATTTTTGTCATCAAAATTTGTATTTAATTAGGCATTCCTTGGGTGCTCATTATTCCTGGGTTCATTAATAATTTAAAGCACTAATAATTATCTTTGTGGTACATACTTGAGTTCTTTATGTATTTTGGATACTATCCCTCTGTCAGATATAGGATTGGTGAAGATCTTTTTTCATTCTGTAAGCTGTCATTTTGTCCTTTTGACAGTGCCCTTTGCCTTACAGAAGCTTTTCAATTTCATGAGGTCCCATTTATTAATTACTGATCTTACTGCCTGGGCTGCTGGTATTCTGTTCAGAAAGTTGTCTCCTGTACCAATGCATTCAAGGCTATTCTCCACTTTATCTTCTGTTAGATTTAATGAATCCAGTTTTATGTTGAGGTCTTCAATCCACTGGAACTTTACTTTGTGCAGAGTGACATATATGGATCTATTTGCATTCTTCTACATGCAGACAACCAGTTACACTACCACCAATTTTTGAAGATGCTTTCTTTATTCCATTGTATTGTTTTGGTTTCTTTGTCAAAAGTCTGGTGTGCTTGGGTGTTTGGGTTCATTTCTAGGTCTTCAGTTTGATTCTATTGATCAATCTGTTTGTTTTTATGCAATACCATGAGGTTTTTATTACTATTGTTCTGTAGTACAGCTTGAAATCAGGGCTGATGATACCTCCAGAGGATTTTTTACTATCCTGGGTTTTTTTTATATGAAGTTAAAGATTGTTCTTTTAATATTTGTAAAGAATTATGTTGAAATTTTTACAGAAATTGCATTGAATCTGTAGATTGCTATATGTAAAATGGCCATTTTTATTAAGTTAATTCTTCTGATCCATGAGTATAGGAGGTCTTTTCATCTTCTGATAGGGTCTTCAATTTCTTCAAAGACTTGAAGTTCTTGTCATAAGAGTCTTTCACTTGCGTGGTTATAGTTACATCAAGATATTTTATATTATATGTGGCTACTGTGAAGGGTGTTTTCCCCCAATTTCTTAGTCCTTTATAGATTTATAGAGGAGGGCTACTGATTTTATTTTATTTTATTTTATTTTTATTCACTTTACATCCTTGTTATAATCCCATCTTTTTTTCCCTTCCAGTCCCTCTCTCCCTGCCTCACATTCCCCCCTCCCCTTTTGCTAAGAAAAAGGAGCTCCCTTTCCCATCCAGCCCAGCTCATCAAGTTGATTCAAGAATGAGGCTGTCTTCTTCCACTGTGGCCTGGCAAGGCAGTCCCACCAGAGAAAAATGATTACAAAGCTGGAAAGTCAGTCCATGTCTGATGCAGTCCCCACTTCCCTTACTAGAGGACCCACAGGAAGCTTAAGCTGTCCATATACTAAATCTTTGTAGGGGGCCTGGGTTCAGTTCCTACATGGTCCTTGGTTGATGCTTAGTCTCAGCAAGGCCCTCTCAGCCCTGGTTAGTTGGCACTGTTGATCTTCTTGTGGAGCTCCTGTCACCTCCAGGGCCTTTTCTATTTCTTCTCATTCTTCCATAAGACTCCCTACACCTCACCCAATGTTTGGATGTGAGTCTTGACATTTGTTTTGAGGTAGTTCTGGGTAGCGCTGCTCAGAGGACAAGTCTATCTGCTCCTGTTGGCAACTTTAGCACAGTATTGTTTATAGTGTTGAGTTGGCACTCTCCAAAACTGGAAATATCCCATACTAGTGGATAAGAAGGAATAATGTAGTAAAAATGACCATCTTACCAAAAGTAATTAACAGATTCGATACAATTCTCATCAAACTACCAACACAGATCTTTACAGAAAGAACAATTCTAAACTTCATATGAAAGAAAAAAAAACAGACTAGATAAGCAATCCTATACAATAAAAGAACTTCTGGAGGTATCTCCATCCCTGACTTCAAGCTATACTACAAAGCAATAGTAATAAAAACTGTATCGTACTTTCATAGAAATAGACTGCTTGATCAATGGAATTGAATCAAAGACCCAGAAATAAAACCACAAACCTACGGTCAATTGATTTTTGAGAAAAGAACCAAAACCATACAATGCAAAAAAGCATTTTCAACAAATGGTGCTGATCTAACTGGATATCTACATGTAGAAAAATGCAAATACATGTGTATTTATTTCTCTGCACAAAACTCAAGTCCAAGTGGATCAAAAGACCTCAATATAGCTCCAGATATGCAAAATATATTTGAAGAGAAAGTGGGGAAGAACCTCAAAGTGATTGGCACAGGAAATAACTTTCTAAATAGACCACCAACAGCTCAGGCTCTAAAATCAACAATTAGTACATGGGACCCCTTGCAACTGAAAAGCTTCTGTAAGGCAAAGGACACTGTCAATAGAACAAAACAACAGTCTACAGACTGGGAAAAGATTTTCACCAATCATACATCAGACAAAGAGTTACTATTCAAAATATATAATGAACTCAAGAAATCAAGCACCAATAAACAAAATAACACAAAGATCATTCTGAGTGAGTTATCCCAGAAGGAGAAAGACACACATAGTATATACTCACTTATATAGACCTGTAAGATATGATAAACATAATGAAAATCTATACACCTAAAGAAGATAAACAGGAAGGAGGACCCGATGTTAGATGATCAATCCTCACTTAGAAAGACAAATGGGATGTGCATTGGACGTAGGAGAAAACAAGTAACAGGACAGGAACCTACCACAGAGGGCCTCTGAAAGACTCTGCCTAGCAGTATATCAAAGCAGATACCAAGACTCATAACCAAACCTTGGGCAGAGTGCAGGGAATCATATGAAATAAAGGGGAGTTAGTGTGACCTGGAGAGTATAGGAGCTCCACAAGGACCAAATATACCTGGGCATAGGGGTCTTTTCTGAGTCAACAATACTTCAACCAAGAACCAAGTATGGATATAACCTAGAACCTCTGCTCGGATGTATCCCATGGTAGTTTAGTAACCAACTGGTTTTCCCTAGTAAGGGGAACAGGGACTATTTCTGACATGAACTCAATGGCAAGCTCTTTGACCTCCCCACCTCCCTCGGGAGGAGCAAATGGGCAGCTCTGGTTTCATGTGGGTCCCTAATAAGGGGAGTGGAATCTGTCTCTGTTATCTGCTTTCTGATCACTAACGCTTGTTGGCTCTGCCTCGCCAGGCCACAGAGGAAGATGTACTCAGTCCTGATGCAACATAATGAGCTGGGCTGGGTAGTTGGGGGAACTTCCCTTATCGGAGGAATATGGGAAAGGGAATGGGGGAAGAGGAAGAGAAGTTGAGATTGGGAGAAGAGGAGGGAAGGGGCTATTATCAAGATGTAAAGCAAATAAATAAGCTAATTAATTTAAAATTAAAAATTATTAATATCAAAAGGAAATGTATGTCTGATTCATATGTGAAAGGTACTTATCATTAGTCATCAGAAAATTTTAATTTTAAACCTCTATAAACATTTAGTCAGTAGAAGAAGTAAAATTACAGGAAATGATAACATTAAATATTGACATGATATGAAGCAACTTGACCTTTGTTAAAACACTGCCTAGAAATAGAAAACAGAATGGCCTTTCGGTACTGCTTAATCAATCATGTTTCCAGACATGGAAATATGGAATAGATAAGCTTACTGGAATATTTTTTTATCTGAGTAAGTGGAAGTATTCTCAAGCAAACAAAAGGCTACATTGGATCATGGCAAAAGGGAATCTTGGCCTGTGAGTCAAATTTCAGACTTGAGATAGTTTCCAGACCTCCAAGCCCCTTGAATGAAGTTGTGGTCAGGTTCCCTTGAGGAAAATACCTGAATGTTTTACTGTTAGTCTTTCTCAGGTTCTTCCACAGAGGAAACTATATAGTCTTTTACAAGGGTAACTGTATACTGAGGGAAAAGAAACAATAAAACTTTCCAGGGCCTAATAAATACTAGTTGAGACTTTGTGCTGATTCCAGGAGATCTTATGAAATTTTCTGGCCCTCCATTTAAAGTTGAGGTTTATTGGGGTCAGGTGATTAATGTAGTTTTGACTGAAGACTGACTCACAGTAGATCCCTTGGGTCCATGAACTCATCCTAAGTCGCAGAATGTGTAATTGGGACAGATATACTTTGAAGTTAGCAGAATTCTCACATTGGTTCCCTGACCGGTGGAGTAGGGGCTATAGTGGGTGGAAAGGCTTAATGGAAGCCTTTAGAATTGCCTCTGCCGAAACGCCGGCTCAGAATCTGACTGAGAAGCCCCAACCCCTGCTGGCAATCCCCTGAGAGCACCTCCATAAGCTTGTTCTAGCAGAGGGGAAGGACAGAGAGGCAACCTGCCAAGG